CATCTAAACTCTCAAAAGCTACCACGAACTAAATGTTGATCATAGATCGTTGCATATTTGATTCCAGCTTGGCGTTGTCTGCTTTCCAATTGCTAAAATAGAATATAATTATTAATTTATTTAAATATATTATAACCAATCATGCTTACAATATTTAGTCCAGGAATTGTGGATGCATTTGATTTCTTAGGTCGACGACGGTACAAAATCATCAGGAAGACAAAGACTATTGCAATAATCAGAAGCAATGCAACTGGTATAGCGTAAATTAAAGGCGAAGCTACAAATATGAAAATTATATAAATTAAATAAATTAAACACAAATGAAACTGAGTTACTTAAATATATTTTTTAAATGTTTTAATAAACAATAAAAATATATTTTTCTTAAAGAAATAGAGATTATTATTAAAAACGTTCGATACATGTTTTCTGATAGAAGATTTTAGTACAGAAGTAATAGACAATATTTTTAAAATCTGCAGAATACTAACAATATCTAACTTAAGCCCCTATATGAATACGATAGATCCAAAACAAAACTATGAATACCGCAAATATCTGAATGACGTCAAAAATGCCAGTCGTATATTTAAAAAAAAATATGTTTATTGTCAACTAGTGTAAGTATAACCTAAGTTTACATTATTCTAATTTTGTAAAGATCTTAATAAACTAGAAATTAATTCGCCCCCTTTACATACTCACCTATCTACCCCAATGCCACACCCAAGCTTTCTAACTTAGATAAACCTAGATAAAGAGAGGTGTTAAACCTTTTGATCATATATCTCCCCCCTAATAACTGAAATGAATTTTCCACATTGATGTGGATATTTTGAATAATTTTCAATTTTTAAAAACAACTACATCAGAATCTTTACTATATCATGATATATGATATATGTAATATGATAAAAATATTTCTAGGTTAAATACATATATATTTTTTCATTGGAGAAATCAAGTAGACAAATTAGAAAGGTATACCTAGATAACCGTCTGTGTCAAATTTCAACCATTTTCAGATTAAGAGGAAAACGGAACTTACTTCTCTACTTCTCTTCAATTGGTTTAGACAGTTACTTCAATAGTTTACCCCTCTCTAGTAGTTATAACTGCTCATAAGGCAAAGTCTTGTTAGAGTGATAATAATCAGGATTAGAGAAAAGTAATCAAAGTCAATTAGTTGCTTTGTTCTATTCAATTTGTGGACAGATTATGCCATATGTGTAGTTTGATATATATATCTTAAGTCATTTCTTTCAAAATATCGAGTAGGCACGATAAATTTTATTAAGGTTCAAGTAATAAACAGATTCAGTAGGGTTGATGCTAAAGACAATATTATACATATAGTTTTAGGCAGATTTAATGGAGTTACAGTAACTATAACCATTACTTTGATTATTTTAGATTTATTGTTGATTACTTTGATCAGACTCATGACGGTCATTTTAGAGCGATATATAATTTACGGTACACTAGTGTTATTCGAGAGAGTTTCGCTAGTCTTCTCATGTTCCATGTTCCAACTATGGCTATTAACCTATTATCTGGCCAATTTTTGAAGCGTGTTGTTTTTGTTTTTTGGATAAAAGTGTCGTATAATATATAATGTATATTGAAAATTAATGAAAGTACCATAAATTAGAAATCTCAATTATGTTTACACAATTGTTTTAATTATACTAATTCGCTTTTATGTTATGTGAAAAATAAACAATAAATTAAAATTTTTAAAATTATTCTAATTATATACCTAAGTTAGCAAGTATCTAAATTTTCTAACAGTTCTTCATTACTAACCAAATAGTTTAAGCGAAATAATGTTGTACAGCGGTTTATTTTACGTTTTTATTATTATCTCTATTTTAGAAACTGGATACGTTAATGCAAATAAGAAATTAGGTAAAATATTCGGTGGTACAACAACAACAATTTCTCAAGCACCCTTCATAGTTCAATTATTTTCAAGTCAAGGTGTATTTTGTGGAGGAGCTCTAATAGACCCAGACAGAGTAATTACTGCAGCTCATTGCGTTGATGGCAAAACTATTGCTGATGTGCAAGTAAGAGGCGGTACAACGGCCTTAAATAGTGGTGGAGTTACAAGAAGTGTAGCAATGATAACTATTGCAAAACGTTTTAATTCACGAAATATGAATATGGATATAGCTATGCTTAAATTAACTTCTCCATTAATTGGCGATAATATTAAAACTATTGCTTTGTCAACAGGTGGCACAAAAGTTGGTAGTAATGTGAGAATTTGGGGATGGGGTATTGATGAGACAGGCTCTCAATCAGATGTATTAAAATACACCGATGTGAAAGTGATTAAAAAAGCTAGGTGTAAACGTTACTATCCAACAACAAGAAATAATTTTTGTGCATTCACATCTGGCAAGGATGCATGTTTTGGTGATTCAGGTGGTCCAGTTACATACAATAATCAATTAATTGGTCTGGTTTCATATGGCAAGGGTTGTGGTGTTCTACCAGGTGTGTACACAAGTATACGTGCTCTTAAAAACTTTATAAGCAAAACACGAAAATTATAAAATTAATATTATTATTATAGAAATAGTTTAATTGTGTTATATGAAAATAAAGAATTAATTAACAACTAAATAAATAAAATGTTTAATATATATATTATGAGATTGTGAATGTACATGTACATATCTATACATAAATACACATAAAATTATGTTGGTATATCGTTAGTATTGTTAAAACTAAGACTAACACTATTTATTAAAGAAAGCAAATTGATGATATTACATTCTACAGAAATTCAAGAAGATATATAATTAATTTCTAAAAAAGGTCTTCAATCAAATATTGTGAAAGATTTATTTTAATTTTAAGTGGGAATATTACAGGTCACTACCCAACTTGAACACTTCCGTTCTAAATATATCATTTTGAGTCTATTTTTAAAAGAAGGATTAAAAAAATATTGTCCTCTAACCATTAGATTTAATATTTTTTAATTAAAATAAACATTTTTGAAACTATTAGTAATATTCCAAACTAATTATCTTCCAAGTCTGAAGATATCATTTGGTTATGACAATATATACATCTCAAGGGTACAAATATATACAAAATTTGTTGTATTTTATTTTCTTAATTTAATATAGAATTATATTCAATATAAATAAATCGACAAACTTTTAAAGAACCATCCAATTGCTCAATACAAAAACAAACATTTGTTTTGGTTGTATTTAGTGAAATGTAGTGATTATAATATTGTTTCAATAATTACACAAGTGTAGTTTTAATAATTTAACCTTGTATAACACGATACATAAGTGATTTATTATTATTATTTCTTATTTAACAAGTTGGAAGCTTGGATAGATTTAAGTGCTAGGCTTTCAAAGTTTAAACATTAATATAGGCGGTACTTATGATGTTTTCGATTGCTAAAACTGGGGTAACTTTTCCAATCAAGATACACTTTTAGTACAATTTTTATTGTCAAATGATAAATCTCGAGCGAAATATATAACACTCAAGATTAATTTATAGTACTCTAGATATTTTCCAGATTAGCAAGATTATCCTGAAATTTTTAGCTGCTTAAAATTCATATTAATATATTTTTTAAAATTATATATTAAATTTTATATTAATATTGAATTTGTATATAAAAATATTTAATAAATTTTTTATTTATAAATAAAATTATTCTTTAATAATTTAAATTGATGAAAAATTAAATTTTATATTCAAAAATATATTTTTATTAAATTTAATTTTTACATTTTATTTTTAAAGTAATATTTATTAATTTTAAAAAAATATATATTTTCAAATTACACATAAAATTTTAAATTAATATTGAATTTGCAATCAAAAATATTTAATAAATTTTTTATTTATAAATAAAATTAATTTTTAATAATTTAAATTGATGAAAAATTAAATTTTATATTTAAAAATATATTTTTATTAAATTTAAGCAGATAAAATGTGAATATATTCAATATATGCATTTATGAAAATCGTAAATACCCACTAACATAACTACAAAAGAGTTAGATCACTCTAAAAACATTCGTTTGACAGATCGAGTGTAAATCTAGAATGAATGAAATTTACCAATCGACAACACCATTAATGAATGTTGGTAGACTATTATAAAATTTAAAATACTGAATGTAGTAAGTCACATATAATATCCACAAATTAAATCGTAACTCAAGTTTAGTCAACAGGAAAGACAAGCTTTATGTGAATATTTCGTAATGAAAACACAATTGTAGGATATTCAATTCTTTATGGGTTCATAGTAAATATCCCGTCGATATGTACACTTAGAAAAATATCCACTAACCACATACTAGTTAAATTGACTTTACCATTTTCTTAGAAAAATTTTAGCTCATGTGGTAAAGATGATATAAAAACAAACATGTGGTATGGTTGCGTCGAGTAAGAATATTTTGACCTGAGATTTAGTTAAAATCTGTCTATATATATATTTATGAATACAATGAATACTAATGGAATGTGAAATGAATATATAAAACAAATAAATTAATTTCAAATGCAGTGAATGCTTGTATTTAGTGTTACAGTTTACTTTAGATATCTGGACAAACAAGTAAATGAATTAACTGGATTTTAAGCTAAATTTTTTACTGTATATTTGTACTACTGAATATATATAAACCTATTATAACCTATTAGTTATATGTTTGCTATAACTTACCCCTTGGTAAGGAGCGAGACCTACCAACACCTCTACTGATCTTTGGGCCATATCATACAGTATGAATACGCAGTTCCACGCCGAATGAAAGTAAAATGCAATCATTCTTCCCGTGTAAGTTTAGGTCTAACCACAGCCACCACGACACTATCAACTTCAATTGGTCAGGTCAGCCGAAGTTGCGGGCACTGTCCCCGAGGTACCAGATATACACCTCCGTTCGGTATCGAACGACAGATATGCCTTAACTAGAGAATATTCTAGGTAAATAGGTAAATAGGTAAATAGCAGCGACCTTAACTCTGGCGTTCTAAGAAAGGTTACTTCTTTATTGGCCGAACGATAAACTAGCTCACTACTTTAGATACTGTCAAGATGCTCATTCTAGCTATGTTGTTTACAACTTTTCAGCAATTACAGCATGATGATCACCTAAACAAATGCTACAAACGTATCTACACCATAGATTAATAATGGATACTTTCAATTTTAATTCTAAGTATATTTTTTTTTTTAGAAGCAGATATTGATTCTCAATAAGAATAAACATTTAAAATAAATACTTACCCTTTTTAACCGATTCATTTGGTTTAGCAGTTTTTATATATCCTTTCTCTATGTCCGCATCAATTTTATGATTTGCTGGTGTTGTAGTTCGAAGTTCTTGTCGAGTTACATACATTGTGGTAGCTATATTACTAATATTTTGTGAAGGTACTGCCGCCATAGTAAAGAGAGCTGGCGTGGTTGCTTCACTGGTCGATGATAAAAATATGTTCGGTGTGATGTGATTATCATTAGGGAAACTAATAATATTCTTAGTTGGACTCGGACGATAGCTAATTCCATTGTCATGATTGTTTTTTATAGCAGAGAGTCTAAAATATTTTATAGATTTTTATAAGAGCATGTTATTTAAGTTTTTATGTTTAAATCTATAGTTAACTATACTTTAATAAATTCTACAATATAAATTTAATCACAGATAAAGATAAATATATTAATAGGCTTTAAAAATTCCCTTAATTATTTATTTTAATATGAATATTAAATATGAAATTTATTTTAATACTTTATATCTACACTTTTTACATAAAAATGTTGGAACCATTTATCGGATCGGTTTCCTACGTTTCGGCTGCAAGAATAATATACCTATTATTATAGGTATTAATATACCTATCTTTCATTTTTAAAAAGCTAATTATTACTGATTTTTAATTAAAAAGTATTAATAACGTATTTTTCGATTCCTGGTACTTGCAGTCTGAAAAAATTTATTTACGAATAATTAAATACAAGAATTATTTCCAACACCACTGATGATGGGTATTTGCCAATACTCGAAACAGCTTTATGGTCAGCCAAAAATTCAATTAATTAAAATAATATAAAATAAATTTTTGTTGTTGTAGTTCACTACTCCTCGAAAAAACCCCTTTAAGTATTAATAAATGAAAGTATCTTAGCCATTATTATTCTTTATCGAATAGTATATTCGATTCGTGTTTCTTTATTGATCTATCTATAATATTATACTTATTCGATATTATTATTACCTGAAGTATCCTAAGTAGAAGCAACTACAGAACACATGTAGAATACTAACAGCCTTAACCTTGCAATTGTCTGTTACCCAAGCACTATTCCTATTCCTTCTAGAGAGGCACTAAGATGAGTTTAATGATTCATGATTAATTTAAAACGGATTATTTACTTTAAAAAAACTTACAATATTTTCATCTGATTTAGATTTCGCTAATTTTATTTGTAAACTATGAGTATGCGGGTCCTGATGTGCTTCATTGGCTTTCCAATCTAATACAGACGTTAGGATTTTTAAGTCAAAGACGGCGAGGTTAATAACGTAGTTATTTTGATTAGTAAAAAAATCTTCAGTATATTGCACTATCGACACACAATATGGAGTTGTTTCAGATATTAAATTTGCTTGACGTATCTTAAATGAGCCTTCCTCTTTGGTATGAATAGCAGAAATGGAAAATTCCTTTTTTAATAGATAATTCCCTGTCATTTTAGAAATGCTTATACTAGCAAAATTTGTTTCTGCAATAATCAAAAATAATATTTATATATATATACATAAAATCTTTAGAACTTAAGTAACAATATTATTGAAAAGGCCCACAAAAACAAAGAAATTGCGCTTTGTGCATTTCTGGATATTGAAGGAGCTTTCGACAATACGAGTTATGGCTCGATCTCGAATGCCTTAACTAACAGAAATGTTGATTTTAATGTTATTTCCTGGATTGAGGCGATGCTTCAAAGCAGAAAAATTACATCAACCTTAGGTAGAACGTCTGTAGCTGTTGAGGCCGCAAAAGGTTGCCCACAGGGTGGAGTACTGTCTCCTTTGCTCTGGTCAGTGGTTGTTGATGAACTTTTAATCTTGTTGGAGAATATTGGTTGTGACGCCATTGGGTATGCAGACGATCTAGTTATAATAGTATCTGGAAAGCATGGTAGCAGTCTATCAGAGATATTGGTAGGGCACCTTCGACGCATTTTAGCGTGGTGCGAAAGTGAGGGTCTCTCCATAAATCCGGAGAAAACTGTTGTTGTGCCTTTCACACTCAAACGTAAACTAGACATAGGTCCCGTACGTTTAGGAAACACTAATATTTCTCTTTCCAGTGAAACAAAGTACCTAGGTGTTGTCCTAGATGGTAAACTCACTTGGAGTTCACACTTAAATAAAGTATATAACAAAGCATTAACGGCTTTATGGACAATACGGTCCTGTATAGGTAAAACTTGGGGCCTAAACCAAAAGATTATATTTTGGATATATCAGGCAGTAGTACGTCCTATCATGACATATGGTTGCCTGGTTTGGTGGCAAAAGGTCACACAGGCTGGATCTATTGCTGTTTGCATGAAGCTCCAGAGATTAGCGTGTCTCTTAATGACTGGTGCTATGAGGACAAGTCCAACTGCAGCACTTGAGGCTATACTTGGATTGACACCTCTGCACATACACATTCAATCTACGGCTGCGCTTAGTGCGCTTCGACTAAAACTCCACATGAACAAGAGTTGTCTTGACTATGGTCATACAACAATATTAAAAATATTTGGAGCACATAAAATTCCTCAATGCGATGGAGACTATACAACAGAACTCCATCGTTTTGGCAAAAAAATTTGAGGTACACCTACCATCACGTTCAACGTGGGAGAATGGAGGCCCACAGGTTGACCCAAAAAGTTTGGTTTGGTACACAGATGGATCAAAGATGGATGAAGGCACTGGCGCTGGTGTATTTGGACCCAACACCAG